TATCGTCCCTGTTTTGATTTCAGCGAATCAGTTCGAGCAAACGCACACAACCTGATTAATATTCATGAATCCAGTAGCTCATTAATACTTAGTGCGTTTTTATATTGTTCTTTTCCTGTATAAAATTAAAATACGTTTCTTTTGAATGTATAGAATATTTTTTTTAATAAGGCAACAACATATGATAGATACGATAGGACAAAACAAATACAGTGCAGCACGAACTGTTTTTATACAGTCTATGAGCACGAAGTGCTTACAATGTGCGCATCCGGTGTGCAGAATGATGCGCTTGAAGCAACACGGCGTCAGGCTGTGACGCCATCATTCTGCACACCGGATGCGCACATTGTAAGCGCTTCGTGTATTATATCTGTGCAACAGTTATTGAGCCTTTCTTTTAACAGTTTTAAATTTCAGTTACTGTGCACGTTAAACACAATTTATAGTCTTTTCTACGCCCGTGTTTTGTTCTCACAGACACCCGGTAGCAAGTAACAAAACAACAAACTCCGGCAAGAAGATAAAGTCCTTTTTGCAAAATTATAGACATGTATTTACAAATCAAGTATAATGGGAACACAGAATGATGTTGGAGAGAGCTTTACCGAGCTGACTGCTGTAACCGAACGCGACCAGGGTTTAAAGGCTGAACGAATGACTGACAGCCACAGCGGAGAAAAGAGTTTGTGTGAACTTTAATGTAAGGACTTAAATATTCATATGTAGCTCACATTAAGCTATCGTATGGCTTCAGAAGTAACACAGAATAATTCGCACAATCTAAAAAAAATAAAAAAATTATCGGATTTGGATCGGTTCTCTCTGCCCGATACCCGATCCGAGAAAAATGGCACTATCGGAGCCGATACCCGATATGAATATCGGATCGGCGCATCCCTAAATTCAGGCTCCATAGTTATTTTCAGTTTCATTATATATCGATTGTATTTCGAAGATGGATCTGACCTCCGTCCAAACCTCCGGCTTTCACGACAGTCCATCATGTCGCTCATCGCTGCTTTGAAGTCAGATTCTGACCATGGCTGGGAGAAAGATGTTGAGTTGCTGGTGTTTCTCTACTGGCTGGCCCACGCAGCATCGTACAGGCTGGTGTCACTGGGCTTTGACATCCCAAAGTCCACGGTGCATGACATTGTGCACAGAATCAGCAGGGCAGTCATCAGAATTTTGAGGAATTTCCTCATACGACTTTCTGCGCGAGAGCGCCCTCCGGCTTCGAGTATGAATGAAACATACACTGCACGGAATGTTTAGCGCTCCGTGATGTTCATCTCGCTTTATTCTGGGTCCGAATAAAACATCAGCTCATGCACAGACTATCCTGTCTCTTTTCATTTAAATCTATATTTATTCACACCAGCTTTTGAAAACCTCTATGCGAACACACTTGCCCGAAAAAGTGCGGGGGATGAATTTACGTGATATTAAAAGTGGGGGGGGGACGTCCCCCGCGTCAATGGTCCACACTCCAGCCCAGTAGGTGGCGGGAATGCACCTATCGTTTGTTTGCCAACGGCCATAAAACTCCAAAAGAAGAAGAAGAAGAACTTTCTGCGCGAGAGCGCCCTCCGGCTTCGAGTATGAATGAAACATACACTGTATGAGTGTTGCTCCGTGATGTTCATCTCGCCTTATTCTGGGTCTGAATAAAACATCAGCTCATGCACAGACTATCCTGTCTCTTTTCATTTAAATCTATATTTATTCACACCAGCTCTTGAAAACCTCTATGCGAACACACTTGCCCGAAAAAGTGCGGGGGACGAATTTACGTGATATTAAAAGTGGGGGGGACACGTCTACGCCCTGTGGTGTTAGCAGAAGGTGGCTCGCTTGTCCGCGGTAGCTCCGACGCCTCGGTTCATATTTCACATATCTAGTCCTCACAAAGAACCGCAACAGTCTCGTAATATCGAAGCGGTTTGGCAAAACACGAACGAAGGCTTCGACACAGTGCTTGAATTTTAAAAGTGTTGTTTTTCACCCAACAGATCTGGCCTACGCTGTTGCTTTCACTTTTGGTTCCGACATTTTGATTTCTGTAAGATCTGCGTTCTTTTTCAACGGAAAAGTGATGACAATATTTACTTTTTTGGTAACGTTAGGAGGTGTATGCCTATTCTTCGTGTGTGGTAAGACTTTTATTTGTTATTTTATTTATTTGTCTCTTTTAAATTCGCCGGTAAAACCCAGTTTAATTTTGTAGTTCTTATCACTATCATGGTTCATGGCATCGTTATCACAGATCACTTAAATCTACGTTAATTTTTACGAGGAAGAATAGAGGAATTTGAGGGGACATATTATTTTACTCAGTTCAGCTATTTTAAATGGTCAATTATAGCGCCAGTCGTCTTGTTATACCTATATAACGTTAGGCATAATAATAGAAATGTCGTTTTATGGTCTCCTTATTGACGTCAGAACCAAAGGGTTTGAAGAGTATTTCACGATCTTAATTCTATAAATTTAAATATTTTTGACATCTGATATGAATCTAAGCAGAAATATTATTTCGAATAGCTCTAAAATTAGCCATACTAGGCCTACTGTTAACATGAACGTATCCAATGTGCATGGCATGCAAAGACATATCTTATACGAGGAAGAATAGAGGAATTTGAGGGGACATATTATTTTACTCAGTTCAGCTATTTTAAATGGTCAATTATAGCGCCAGTCGTCTTGTTATACCTATATAACGTTAGGCATAATAATAGAATTGTCGTTTTATGATCTCCTTATTGACGTCAGAACCAAAGGGTTTGAAGAGTATTTCACGATCTGAATTCTATAAATTTAAATATTTTTGACATCTGATATGAATCTAAGCAGAAATATTATTTCGAATAGCTCTAAAATTAGCCATACTAGGCCTACTGTTAACATGAACGTATCCAATGTGCATGGCATGCAAAGACATATCTTAAACCTGGGGACAGTTATACTGTAAGTTTAAAGTAAAATAAATTGTTTTATTGGGTGGAAAATACCAGTAGGTTATTTAAAACCCTTTACATTTTTTTTATTTTTTATTATTAGAGCAAGGCATGCAAGGAAACTATGCTCTAATCACTACTTGGATAATTAAATACACAAATATAGGCAGTGTGGTATATGAATCGGGATGTGGGTTTTATTATATTCATTACGTTGCAGAATATCATCTATGAGTGAATGTGTAAATTGACGTTCTTATGCTATTTGTTTGCATGTGACATACAGCAAGGCCAGGTTACACCTTGTGTAAAAGGGTGCACCTCCTTTATCTCCTTTCAAAGTTACTTTGAAACTGCAATGTCAAGTTACATGCTACTCATAGTTTAATGGCTTTAAAAAAAAAACTATGGTCAAGCTACTATTTTAAAATTTAATTAGCCACACTACAAGTTTACCTAGGTTCAACACGTATGAATGAATGAATGAATGAACAATCTTATTTAGGTTGTGACAAAGTCAAACTGCAATGGTCCTATTGTTTTGTCATGCTCTTATGTCATGCATGCATCATAATTTGAATGCAGAGATACACATTATTTTCATGTTGCATAATTTTGTCCCACTTTTCCAGAAATTATTTGTAATTAACTGTTCGTTTCTTCTTCAGGTGCTTCTGCTGTTGATCCAGACAGAGTGTCAGTGATGGAGGGAGATGCAATGACTTTATACACTGGTGTTGAAATGAACCAACAAGACAAAATGACATGGTTTTTCGGAGAAGATCGCATAGCTGTAATTAATGGAGATAAAAGTAAGATCTGTGAAGATGATCAGTGTAAAGAGAGATTCAGAGACAGACTGAATGTGAATCAGACTGGATCTCTGACCATCACTAACATCAACACCACAGACTCTGGACTTTATATACTAAAGATCACCAGCCGCAACAATGAAAATATCTTTAGCGTTACTGTACATGGTGAGTTATTTAAAAATTTAAAGCCAGGTTATCTGTGTTTAAATCACATCTATTTAGTGTGTTGTGTTTTGTATCAAGTTTAAACTGCAATACTAAAATCTTTTAGTGCAAATGGTGATAGATGCTATCTAATAGATGTAAATAAAAGCCTTTGCCAAGGTTGACTATTGCATTCGATGTAAAAAACAACAACAACTGCCACACACGGAAAGCTGAGAACTCTTTCTGCTTAACTTTATTTCTCTTTTATTCCATTAAAGGTAGCATTTTTTTAGCTATCACTGTTATAAGGGCATTTGTGAACAAAACTCTTTAGAGTAGTGACAGTTGCTCATTTTAATACCTCTGATTGACTTACATTTATGCACTTAGCAGTCATTTCTGTGATTCTGTGACTGCATTGCTAAAATATTGTTGTTAATAGAAATCTTAATGCAATGCATCTATCATCAAAACAAAATTATAGTGAGCTTTTAATAGATGTAAATAAAAGCCTTTGCCAAGGTTGACTATTGCATTCGATGTAAAAAAACAACAACAACTGCCACACACGCAAAGCTGAGAACTCATTCTGCTTAACTTTATTTCTCTTTTATTCCATTAAAGGTAGCATTTCTTTAGCTATCACTGTTATAAGGGCATTTGTGAACAAAACTCTATAGAGTAGTGACAGTTGCTCATTTTAATACCTCTGACTGACTTACATTTATGCACTTAGCATTCATTTCTGTGATTCTGTGACTGCATTGCTAAAAGATTGTTGTTAATAGAAATCTTAATGCAATGCATCTATCATCAAAACAAAATGAGAAACAATGAATGCGGTAATTGCTTTCGGTGGTGGATGCTGCTGTTTGGGAACGCAGTCGTTTAACAGTTCTGGGAGGCAATTATACAG